TAGAGTCTAGAGCATGTAAAAAACACAACAAACACATTTCGTTTCTGAACACATATAACGCTAAAACCGAACCTCTTCCTGGTGACTAAGCCCTTGTAAATATGGAAGGCTGTATGGTATTTATTTCCAGTAATAAAAGTAAAAATAACAATAAATGACGGATAAAAAAAACCCACTTGTTTACTGTTCCATCTAACTCCATTACGAAAAGTCTCATCTTTTTTCTTTTGTTTATATAAAGAAGTGTAGACAGTAAGGATTGCTTGAGACTGTGCTAACGTGGATTCCAAGGATTTATTGGTTTATGATTTTTGCGACATTTTAATCTTTTTGTTTGCGCTCGCTGTTTCTAAAAGAAATTGACAATGACGTTAGCTATTTATAGTGACGACTGTAACGGTCGTAAAATTTCGAGAGCACGTGATACATCAGGTTTTGGAGGTATCTCGCGATTAAACACAGAATTTGAGTTCTGGTACATTTCTTCTTCTTCTTCTCGCTCTTTGGTGAAGGATTTCTTCGACGAAAATAATTAGTTTTTCCTGGTAGACTAGGTTTATTTTAAGTGAAATTACATTCGTAGAAATTAGTATGTAAAGGTATTATTAGTATGTAGTATGTTACACCGTATGCACTTACGCGATATGATACGACAAATAAGTTAAAATGATGACTTTGATTTAGCCTTTTCAGTTCTTTACAAGGCCTTCTTGGAGCTTCAAGATATTTGTAGAATTTGTGAGTTTTATTTTTGTTCTTTTCTTGCGTGTAAAATAGAGTATAGAGTGTGTATAGAGTAATAAGCTCATATAAGCTTATAATGGATTGAAATGTCGCTCTTCACTATATATACAACCGTTTCAAACAATTGGTATCTTTGACGTAGTCCCACCTGTTCGTGACTCTCGACAGCTCAACGTTTAATATTCAGAGTTTTTAATGCTACAGTTCGGAGTTCTATCTCTACGGTATCCGCATCCCACCAAACATGCTCGCCCTTTCAGCCGTGGGGGCGTTATAATGTGACGGTCAATCCCACTATTCGTTGGTAAAAGAGTAGCCCAAGAGTTGGCGGTGGGTGGTGATGACTAGCTGCCTTCCCTCTAGTCTTACACTGCTAAATTAGGGACGGCTAGCGCAGATAGCCCTCGTGTAGCTTTGCGCGAAATTCCAAAACAAACAAACAAACAAACA